TCTGTCGGTCCCTATTTCAAATCATTTGAAAGCTTCATTTCGGTTGCCAATAAAAATGGGATAATTGAGCTTATCGACAGACCCACACATGTCCAATTACAGAAATATTCTTTAAATAATTTCTCAATTTCTCGTGGATTTTCTGTCGTAAAATGCAAAAGTCATGCGGGACAGAAACGTAACTAGAAAACTAATAGAGAACGAAGAACATTTACGTTGATTAATTTATTTTTTATTATGGTTTTACTTTTCTACTACGACTGAACATGAATATGTCACAATTATGATAATTTTTGAACGTATGTATTTATGCTGTCATCTCCTCTAACACGGCGCGTAAAGCGGTACAGAAGGAGAGGGCATTCGATATGTACTGAAAAGTTATCAATTTATTATTTTATACAATCTATTACCCTTGATCATTGATAACGATTGAAGAGCTTCTACTCACAATAAGGCCAGTTACGATATTTCAATTAAAGAAAGAAAAGGAAAGCATAAAAATTTAGATACATGGGAATGGAAAATACTCTATTCGAAATAATTGCAAAAATTTAGAAAAATTCCGGATAAAAAACTGAAATGTTCGAAATTTCATAATTTATTGTAAACCAGGCTATCAATTGTCAGTTTATACTACACTTGAAAAATTCAGTTGACTTCGATTGCTTACTAGTTATTTCTTATCGATTTATTAGTTTTAATTATTTGACAGTGGCCCTTATTGTAGTAAAATCTTCGATCGATGTTGGATATCCTTACCGTGCAATAATAGCGTAAGGAAAGTTCTGGCATCACACATTTGATAGAAAGAGTCACTGGTTTTTGATACGTCAACACATTCAGCATGTCCTTTTGCATTCGTATCGTTTTTTCATACCACGCTAAATTGTACATGCTCGTTGGAAGACTTAAACTCTGTGAATATTATTCTTACTATTAACATTAAGATGATACTATTTCGTCCGTTGTATATCTATATGCAAACGATCTACCATGTCCTTCATATTATCAGCTGGCCACGCGTACATAAAAAGGTACATAAGATAGTACATACTGTGGAGTATGTACATGATTTTCATCATTATTGGTGTATTCTGTTAAAAAATTACAGCATCAGTTGGTTGAACACGCAACAGTCTGCTGTTAAATGTTACTTACCATGACCACCATGACAGCACATAGAGTCATGAGAAATGTGGTGATTATTATAACAAAGAGTATCATGTAACGAAAACATGCAAGTACATCTTCCGCGTATCTGGAGAAAAATACAATCGCTTGCAATGATCGCGTCAATGTACCATTGTTTCACGGATTTTTATTTTACCATTATTTTCGGAAACTAAGCAACACATTGACGCTTGAGAACGTATTTCAAGATTATAAAAACTGTGAATTATTATCGTATTGTATCACTTCTGAAAATCTGTGAAACAATCTATCATTTAGAAGAACATGTTTCAGACTTCCCATTGCCGTGAAAAATCTGTACGTATCTCTGTCAAAATGCAGCTATTCTGAATTGTCACACTTTTATGTGTACGAAGTTCCATGGACAGTGAACCTTGATCGCCACATGTACGATTATGATAAAAAGCAATGTCTTTACCTTTTCAGATGCAATTGTTTCCGAATGCACATGGTCAGCGTACGAATGTTCGTATTCTTCTGCATTTCCACGACTAGACACTCGTATCTTGCGGCCGTGAACCAAATTAAAAGCCCTCCGAACACGCACAGACACACGTTCGAGCTGCATTGATAGACCGCGACGATTTGATGCGCTTTGACCATAACACTTATCACTGTGTGATTAGTATCGAATGGATATTCCGTGTGTATTATGTTGACCACTGAAAATAATATAGGTCCCCACAAATAAATGGTCGCCGCCATGTAGGCGCCAATTATGTAACTTGCGTAAATGACATTGCATCTCGCTAGGTATGTGTTGAAAATCTCTCTTTCGTGTTGCTGCGCCTCTTTCACGCAATCGTACATTTCCGCGACTATGCGCTGTAATTCGTTGTTAAAATATTTTTAGACCAAAGTTTTAGACCAAAGCTGGCTAAAAATTGGCGGCCCACGGGCTCTTGTCTCTACTCTTCTGATCACTGGCGCTACCCCTTCCCTCCACTATATTCAAATCGATGCAGTGGTCCGCCAGTTAGCCGGCTTTGATTTCAAACATTTCGTGGCCACTGAATTTGATATCGTTCACGTGTCATTAGGTGTATCAATTAATTCATGGTTAATTAATTTCTGTTGCGGTTCGAGATGTATCGATCGTGGCTCTGAAGCGGTTGAAGTCTATCCAGAGTTTTACTAAAACTCTTTGAAAATTCCGAGTAATCCTGATTTAATGGCCACAAAATTATTCGTAAAAAGCACGCGTAATGATAGAAATGGAATTAAGTACTTACTTGCAGAGTGTCATGCTTGGTGAAACATATAACTGTCTGAATGATACCTTGTGTCGTTAATATCACCTGGCTGAGACACAGCAAGATGGTTTCCATATCGTCGGATCGTACGTACATGGCGTATAACAGTGGCAGGAGCAGAGAGATAATGCTGATTGTCGCGAATAATTGTGCAGTTTTGTATACGAACAGTTTTTTCCTTCTGCTGTGCGGAGGAAGCGGCCAACAGGACGATGGAGCTACGCTCAGCCGAACGATGTCGATAGCTTTCTCCAGTGTCACTTGTTCCGGCATCTCGACGAGACTGTCGCACTTGCAAGTCGGAAGATCGGAAAAGTAGAATGTAACTGATCTAAGTATCACGATACGCGCAGACTGTTGCAAGTTACTGTTGAATTCCACCGTACAATTATGACAATTATCATAATAAAATAATAG